ATGACCTATTAGTCTCGCGTTCAAATGCTTAACCTCTAGACCACTGAGTCGGCATCCAACTATGTTATTGTCTAACCTAAACCAACCAATGAAGTTGAGCCATCGTTCATCATTGTCCTCAGTGAGTTATTATCTCACAACAGACCCGGTTGAACTCCAACTCCACTGGTCGCTGCTTCTCACTAGAACCCCAGGGAATACCTCTTGAAGTTAGTCACTAGTGATTTATTGAAAATCCTAATATATATCATTAACAAATTATGAATCAGTTGTATAAAATATATCTTCACGTAAATTTGACGCAATTTGTTTTAAATATTTATTATTTCATATGGATTTTATTCACATAAATGATAACAGAAATCATAATAATGATGATTTAGACATTTATAATGTGATGCTAGATATGAATCTACACTCTAATGGGAGACCTTATGACCAAAGTGTTATCATTTTTAACCACTGGAACAAGAGTAGGTAAAATGTATCTTTAATTGATAGCATAAACCCAGATACTAGTCAGGCTTGTGATGAGTATAAAATTCCAAAGTCTTCTTAATTAAGATAATGACATGGGACTTTTATTCATGAAACTAACATGATATTACTCATTAACTACTACTACTACTCGTGCGCGACCGGCCTCAAGCAGTTGTCTCTTGGGCTCTGCGGTCACGCTCCCAGGTCGTTAAGATCAACACTAATCGAATTTCCAGGTTCCTCAAGAAATACCCTTCCATGGTGTGGGCAGCCGGGAAGTGATATCAGCCCTCATACCCGTAACAGCACACGAGACCAAGTTGGTCACATTCAAATCCTTTCTACACCTCCTAATACCTCTCTTATCTCCATGACCAACCCTCCTCACGTCTCTTTATCACCTCGCACCGCCCGGGCAAACGATTCGAGTACGCGGAACGCTATTCCTGGTCTCCTGAAACCACACTCTAAACTACATGTAAGAGCTTTTAACGTTCAAACACTGTTCCAAATAGGACAACAGGTCTCCTTAGCTAGGACTTTAGAATCCCGCGCCATCGACGTGTTCCGCGTCTCCGAAACGCGCATACAGTATCCGAGTAGCGTAATTCATTTGACCTCACCATGTCAAAATAAAGATCTCACTCGATTCACACTTCGTGTATCTGGAAGCGCTGATGTTGCTTCCAGTGGCCTTGCAGGCGTAGGTATAGCATGGAGTCCTAGGGCAGAACTAGCTCACTTAGATTGGATCCCAGTAGACAGTCGTTTGTGCGCTGTCCGACTAAACGGAACAGTAAGGATCCGAAAAGATGGGGATACTCGTCGTTGCCTCTTCGTCGTCTCTGCCTATTCACCCACTGACTGCAGCGCAGATGATGTAAAAGATGAGTTTTACAGAAAGCTCTCCGACCTCCGAAAACCTAGGCTCTCGGATGTAGTAATAATGGCCGGTGACTTTAATGCTCAAGTAGGTAAACTAAGCAATAGGCAAAGACACCTGGGTGGATCTTTTGGTGTTGTGGATCAAAGAACAGATAATGGCGACCGTCTGTTGCAGCTATGCTCGGATAACCGCCTGTTCTTTGCAAATACTAACTTTAAGCATAAGGAAAAACATCTTTTAACATGGAGACCCCCTAATTCGTCCCAACGTTGGACCCAAATAGATCACATCGCTATCAGCCACCGATGGAGAGGCTCGATAGAAGACTGTCGCTCATTCTGGAGCACATGCTTAGATTCAGATCATGCTCTAGTACGAGCGCGTATCTGCCTGCGTCTTACTGGACGTAGGAAAGACGCTACAAGGAAACCTGTTAGGGGCCTACTTAATGATAGTCAAGCTAAGAGTATATTTCAGGAACAACTAAGAAAACAGTTAGGCAGCCATGTATGTGATGTCCACCCCGAGGCAGCATGGAATGATATCCGAAAAGCTGCGGGAACAGCAGTGATATCTGCTAGTAAGGTAAACCACAAGGTTAGGGAGAAACACTGGATCTCAGCAGGATCTATCGCACTGATAGATGCTCGAAAACTCATTCCACCTGGCTTTGAACATAATAAAGAGCGGAGTCAGCTTAAGCGCAAGCTGACAAGAAGTCTACGCAATGATCGCGAACAGTGGTGGGTAGCGAAAGCAAGAGAGATGGAAAAGGCAGCAGCAATAGGTAATAGCAGACAATTGTTCAGACTTGTTAAGGAAACCGGTATTAGGAAACCGACTGTTAGCGAAACACTCTCAGAGAAAGATGGGCATATTATACATTCTCAATCCAGGAGATTGGATCGATGGGCAGAACACTTTAGGGATCAGTTCAACTGGCCTTCAGCCACACCTTGGTTTCCCACGATCTCCAGTCAACCTGAATGGCAAGTTAATGTAGGTCCTCCGTCTCTTTACGAAGTTGAAAAAGCCATAGGAAATCTGAAGCGAGGGAGAGCAGCAGGTCCTGACAGGTTCACTCCTGAGGTTTTTAAGTATGGTGGTCCAGTATTAGCAGTGAGATTAGCTGAGGTCTTAAGTAGAATTTGAAAACTGGACGTAGAACCATCTGATTGGTCTCAATCACTGATTGTGCCAGTCTATAAGAAAGGCAAAAGTCCTCTTGTGACAATCACAGAGGAATCAGTTTGACTAATATAGTGTCTAAAATATTAGCTTCAATAATACTTCGACGCCTAACCAAAGCTCGTGAAGAACAGACTAGAGAAAATCAGGCTGGTTTCCGACCTGGACGTGGTTGTATAGATCAGATATTCACACTACGTCAGGTTCTAGAACACAGACACACGTTCAGACGCCCCACAATAGTAGTATTTCTCGACCTTAAGGCGGCATTCGACTCTGTTGATCGTGAGGTTCTATGGCAGTGTTTGTCACTGAAAGGAGTACCAAAGAAGTACATTAACCCTGTAAAGGCTCTCTACTCGAACACAACTGGTCGAGTGAGAGCTAATGGCGAACTGTCATCAGAATTGATTACCTCAAGTGGTGATCGTCAGGGCTGCCCACTCTCTCCATTCTTGTTCAACTTTGTCATTGACGTACTTTTAGAGATAACACTCTCCTCATCTAAATTTCCAGGGGTTGAACTTCTACCAGGAGGTTCACTTGTTGACTTAGAATATGCTGATGACAAAGTTTTATTTGGAGAAGACGCTGATAAAATGCAGAGTCTTCTGACCACTCTAAGCAATAATGCAAGCATGTTCGGGATGCGATTCTCTCTCACGAAATGCTAAATATTGCTTCAGGATTGGGTTGCATCGACACCCGAACTAATGATAGGGAGTGAAGTAATCGAGCGTGTCACTTATCTTGGAAGTCTCACCAGCCCTTGTTGTCTGGTATGTGACGAAATCTCAGCACGGATACAGAAGGTTTGAATAGCCTTTACCAACTTGCGTCTTTTATTGCGTTGGCTAGATTTCCGTCTATCAACCAAAGGACGTGTTTACTGCGCAGCAGTTCGTTCCGTCCTACTTTATGGCAGTGAAACATGGCCGGTAAGAGTAGAGGATATTCGTAGGTTACTAGTATTTGATCATGGGTGTCTCCGAAATATTGCTCGTATATCCTGTGACCATCGAGTAAGTAACGCAGTTGTTAGGAAACGGGTACTAGGTAAGGATGGCAAATCAATTGATGAATTATTGAAACTTCATCAGTTGAGATGGCTGGGACACGTGTTACGTTGGCCAACGACCGACTGACTCGATGTGCGATGTTCAGTGGTATAGGAGTAGGGTGGAAGTAAGCAAGTGGTGACCAAACCAAAACATGGCACAAGTCCATTAAGTCACTGAAAAGTGGACTGAGTCATGTTGGTAGGTGTAGACTACCTGGTTGGGGACCGCGAGATGATAGTAACCGATGGTTAGAGACCCTGAATGACATGGCTCAAAATCGTTTGCAATGGCGCGGGTGCATCCACTCTTTGTGTTCTCCCAAATTCTAATATTCTGAATTCTTCCTGTCCCTTTCTTTTTTCGCTTTCCAAATTTATTTCACTGGATTATACTTCTTGAATAACATCTTCAAACCTTAATTTTTCTGATTACAAATTATAATTTTACTACATCTAGCATTACGGGATTTGAATCAACCACTGCATCTCTGTGCTGATGTGGTTTGGCAACTCGAACTGATGTACGTACGTACGAAGTTCTACGTTGTTACTGACTGACTGAACTATCGTTCATCCGATTGTTAATTTTGGGGCCTTAATTCCGTAGATGAAAGTGTTTAAAAGCATTCAGTTCATTTTTCCACTATGTAACAATCAATTAACTGACTCTTTCTGTGTTCTAGTTGCTAATTATTTAATAATCAAAATATTGATAACCTTGAATTTAGTATACACTGTCTATTCAGTTAAGTGCATGTATTGGCAGTTAACATATCTTTGATATGAGGAAATAATACTGATAACTAAAACTTAGTTACAAATGACTCTACTGATAAGAACTAGTTTAATCAGATATCAACATTTTAATCTTTTAGTTGATGAGGTTTCAATCCAGATATTTCGGTACTGCTTCATACTACTACTACGTGTTTCGAATAGTCTTATTAGACAATCTGTTCTACGGTTGAACTAAACACCATAAACCATATTTTTTTCTTTTGAGTACTTGAATTTGTTAAATAGAAATCATCTAAGTTTCATTTTTCATGAATAACAATCAATTCTTTATAGCTAATTGAGACATAAAGTGCAAGAGAATTTCAACCATATTTATTATCCATTAGTGCTAACTGATTGTGATTAGTTCATAGTTTCAGTGAATTAGATCACTTGATCACATCAAAAACATGACAATATGTAGAAAAGTATTTTAAACAATCTAATGTTACTGAATTCTTACTATTACATAGTAGTGCTTTTAGAGTAATACTGAATACTGTCAAACCAAATTCCTTAAAAGACTTTATTTCTTCTAAATAATTTCATAATATAATAATTATTATTATTACTGTTATTTTTTTTCCACAATACATTACTTATTTACAGAAAGAACAAAGGGTTACAGTTATTATAGCCGTAGCGTTAGTAGCAATTATCACAATTTGTGTGATTTTAATTATTCTAAGAACATTGAGAAAGAAATCGAATAAAAAATCCAATGGAGTAAGTTAATTTTTTTTTTAAATTTAGCTATACTATTTATTAACTAGAAATTTTCACTTTAAACAATCATCATTTATCAAAGTAATTTATTAAACAAACTGATTATTTACATGACTGTCTAGCAATAGGTTCAAGTAATTTATCAGAATTCATTAAAATATGATATAGGTTAAAATTCTTGGAAGCACTCTATGTATTGATATTCAAGTTGTGAGATCTCAGTATACAGCAGAATATTGACATTGCTGAAAAATTGTATAGTCTGTAATAACTTATCAACAAACTATAACTGTCAGTGATTGTTTCATTGACAACTATTTGTGATGTAAACAATTTAAGCTTAATGCATAATATTCAATTAAGGATTACGATCAATTAAAATCTGGAACACTAAAAAATAGAAAGAAATGTTTGTTCAGTTCATATGAATATACACTTTAGATCTAGATTCATGTATAATTGAGATCTGTTACTTTTCATTTTGACGTCCTCAAACGACTAAAATTAAATAGCACACATATATGAATCAGTATATGAAACCGTAAATCATCTTCCTTAAATAGTTGGGAATACTGGATAAAATAGTCGCATGAAAATAGGGTTATGGACTGGAATTAATCAACGACGTTTTTGAAGTACATAACCTACCTACACATTTTTTTTGTTTTAGTTTCCGATTACGAACCAAAAGAAAACATTTCAATCCGATAAAATTAATAAAGTAAGTTATATATATATATATATATATATATATATATATATATATATATATATATATATATATATATATATATATATATATATATATATATATATATATATATATATATATATAAAACTACATTCACTATCAACATTTTCGACATAAACAATTAATGTAGTTGCCTACTTCAAGAAAATTTATGACGGACGACTCAGTCTCATTTTTCAATGAACACTCCTACCTAAAATAGTGTTAAAAGTGGCAAATAATCTTCAGAGCGCCAGTTTCCGGAAACTAGAGATAAATTGAACCTCTTTCCTATCGCAGAAATGAAGTCGTCCATACGCAATCTGAACTCTTAGAGTACGTCCTTCTCTTACTACTGATCGGCTAAAAATACCATTCCAGTTAATTCGATTTGAACAATCCAGTAGTATAGCTGTCCACTACGCAATGTAAGTATGACTCAAAGCTGAATATATAAATCTACGTTTCAACACTAACTTGTGTTATAGTAATATTACATGACTCAAGCTGTGTATTGGACCTCAAAACGGACTCTGACACTTTCGAAGCAGTAAGTACAAACCCACCATTTTGGTAGGGTTTAGAGCAGACTAGTGACCGACAGTCAATTACTGAACTGTGCACACTTGTATGGAAATTGACGACATATGAGTTATTTGCAACCTATGAGAGTTAAATGTTCGTCTAGACTGCCAGTTGTTGTTGACTAAAGACATTCATTCTGTATTGCACAAAGTTCTAGTTCAGGAGCTTGTTATTCATTACGGAAATTCTGCATTCAATACTGTTCACTTATTTATCTTGTCGAGCAGTCGAAAGGGAACTCGGGATATGTCTTCGTAACTTTCGGCATTCGTCAGCAAGCCTTACGCAGAATCTTTGCGTTGATGCTTCAAGATTTAAACCTATAATGACTACCTTCAACCTTCCACGTCACCATTAAGCTATTTAGATAGCGACTAAGACATTCAGTGACAGCTCACAGAGTAGTAAACAATGTAATGTAACTCGAATGACCCAGGTGTTAACCCCATAAGTAGCATCGGTTGACCTCCCTGACAAGTTCAAAAGCAGCTGGAAAATATATCTATCCAACCCAGCATCCATGCACAGTACATGTGATATCATTTCAATAAGACTGATTGCCAAACTGCAACTCGACTAACAGAATCCGACCAAGAGTGAAAGAAATGACGTTATTCACTACTCACTGACCAGTCTATGTAAGTGCATAAATCCTCAGTTTTACTGTAGACAAAATATCGGCTAAGTTTATCTACGGGATTTACTTGACACCATTACTTACTAAAGCCATGAATAAACTGACCGTTCTATTAAGTTATAACCTGTGCATATTCTTCTAAAACCACGATAAGCTTACTTAACCGCGTACCGAGGACAAGTAAGCAAATATAAGACAGAATATACAACACGACCGAGTGGACTGCATAGATAACACTGGAGTAAACAAGTACTTTTCACTTGGGACCTTAAGCTTCACCAACACGAAATATTAGATTACAAGTGACCTTTGATTTTACAAAAATTTACATACATTCCTACTCAATACAATTGACTGATGTTGATTGGTAGAAAGAATAAGACCTCTTTAGATTAGGTATCAGTATGATTTGATATCGAAAGTACCCAAATGTATAAGATGGAGTTTAAATTATGTGACATTCTCTTTGATGCTGAAGCGACTAATCAAATATGCTAAATGACTCACGATAAATGTACATGCAGCCTGTTTCGAGATCGGTAATACTATTTTGTCAAACGAAATGTTGCAAATCAAGATTAATGCAAGTTAAACTTTTTTCTGAACATTGTAGGTAGAAGAGAGAGGAAATTATTCGTGTATGCCCAATGATAACCATAGCGAACCTAAGTGGATTATGCAGCAACAATTAACTGTAGGCCATACATCTGATAGGATAAGGAAAGTCCCGACACGTAAGTTTAAGCGTAACTCATAAAGAACATTTTTTTTCCAATAGGAAACCCCGAAAACAAGAAATGGTACGATTCAGCAGCAATTCCTTTTATGGATGATGTCTCTTCATCGACGGATAACCTGCACGCAGATCAACTTAAGAATCAACAAATATGATTAGATGTATATAGCTTCAGTATGTAAAGATAATCACTAATAAGTTAATGTGTAATTATTGAGTCTTTTTTTATTAAGATCAACGATCAAACGTTTTCGTTAGATATTACTCCCAAATGCCCTGGTACTGCCGAGAGTAGGGTGGGCCCACCCTCCCTCTCGAAATGCTCTCACATGGACACGCGTATATAGCCTCTGCCATGGAAGTCCTACTCATTGCCTTCTCGCAACATGGGTGTTGGTTACGAAATTGAGAGGACGAAAAGCGAACGTCCGGCGCTTTAACCGGGTCGGTAGACATGGAGAGTCCACTTAGTGGAGTTTGAAACCCTGATTCTAAACCAATGGTGCACATGGGCTCCAGGATCCTGAAGGGGCAAATGGCGTATGAACCAATCGTTGGTCCTCGACTACCAGGGGACTGCATCTCCTTACGATGGTCCACTGCCTTGTGGATCAGACCTTCAAAGGCTCCGGGGTGTGGCCCCCTAAGAAAACTACCTGCTTCGGTTTGGGCACCCGGGCAGTATCACAGCCCTCACACATATCAAATGAGATCTGTGTGGCGCATGTGTATTCGGTGCCTCTTTGTACTAATATCTGTGTTAAAATATAAAATAATAAATTTTGTTAGATAAGTTATTCGTATAAGAAGCCGAAATTCGATGCGTGTATTTTATTCCAAGAAAAACAACTATATTGTTACTGCTTATCGAAAAATCATGTGTATTTTTTAGAAGAATATAATCAATGAAACAGTCAGTTACACAAACTTAAATGTCTAGGGAACAACGATCTTCATACAGAGAAATGTAAACTTAGCTAAATGCCGTAAGAGAATAAACAAGAGAAATTATTATACACAAGCTTTAAAGAAGTCGTTTTAAAACTAGTCAATATGATTTTTCTCTTTAAATTCATTTATGTTTGATTCATTGACTTGATGATCTGAAATAAATGTCCGCAAATCCTCTATGCATCGTTGGCCTCTTTCATGCAAGATTTCTTTGAGCATCGGCATAAGACGGCTTTCGAGATCTTGATCTTTGCTGAAATATAGATAGTAAAGATTAACACTTTTTCAGATGGGAGAAATAATCTATATTTAAAGTAAAGTCAGTTTTCTGGTAAAAAAAATTTTTAACATTTATTTATCTAACAATCTTACCATCATAACAGGTCACTAGAAAAGGAAAAATTCTGAATTCGTTAAAACAAACAAGTTAATGAACTTGCGAAGGGCCGTGTATCAGGTTGGATGAGAAAATATATGGCCATGGTATGAATGTCGTCACCGGAACAACGAGAAACTCAAATGATAAAAATGACGGGAACTCGACAAACAGGATTAATAAGACTATTAGAGTTCAAATACTGAACATGTAGTTTTCCACATACAATATAAGTTAATGTTATCCTAAAATATGAAATACACAAGTAGACAAGCAGAAAGAACATAGGATCTGAGACAGGTATATTGGTTAAAGATGTTGCAGATCACATCTTGTCATATCATTACAGGAAATCAACAAGAGGGAAAGCAAAGAATTGGAAGAAATTGAGAAAAGTGAGAGAGTCCAAAGAATTAGAGGACTTGTGTTGCAATAATACGACTAAGTTTTAAATGGGGATAGAAAATAAAAGTAAATGGGTAACTGCAACCAATCACGAAGTCTGTATTTCCTTACATAGTTTGGATTAGTAGCTAGTGGCTCCACATAATTTCTTGGTTCCTCTTTCCTAACCTACTTTTACTCTGACGTCAGCATAGCGCAATAGGGTGGGAGACGGTTGACCAAATGTGACCACATATAAAATCTAACATCCACAAAGTTATTGATCGTTTGATCACTTTCATAGAGTACTCTACACCTAAAAATCAAGATTGCTCATCAATCCCATTACAGGTTACCAATGCTGACCACACTGATCAAATTATTTCAAGCACGCTCTTTAGGTTTACAGTCCATGACTCACATCAGTAAGCTCATGCAGAACAGAGTGTTGAACAATGTACTTTGTCCAGATGTAAAGAAATGTGTACACCAAATATCGAACTTAACATTGTTCGACATAACTTAGTTGAGTATATGACAGACAATATTGGTAGGATATACATCCGTTTATAGTAGGTCACACATATCACAGGGGTGGTAGGTGTTAGTAACTTTGATGAGCCTAACATAAAACACCATAGGTAGATTCAACAGTTTTTGATAATCAAAATACGAATTGCATTCGCCATGGATTCGGATTGTCAGACTTTCTTTACCGGTTTTAAAAAATATGAGTGAATCGTCTTTGCAAAGGGTGATTGAGCACTGGAATTCAACCTCATAGGAATTCATTAAAACAGACCCAGCAATTGGTGCAGAAACTTTTCATTTACCAAGTGTAACAAGTATAGCCTCATGTTAATTAGCGATATACAGGCGTAGGGAGAGACAGCTACTGCGCAATGTAAGGAAAAATAAAAAAAGAATCTAGCCACTTACTTTTGCAGAAAACAGTAGTTTTACACATTGACATTAGAATAAAATGATTAATGCATAAAGTAGACAATGGATGGCGACAATTCAATAATTGCAGCATCAGAACGAGCAACACGAATAATGTGAAAATCATCAGCCAATCGAGGTAAAATATACATTATTGCCAGGTTCGATAAAACACGAACGAGGATGAAAGTAAGCACCCAATCAACAATTGTCTGACCAATCAAAACATTCTACAAAAGAGCAAACGCCAACTGGAATTGTAGGCGTAGTTGAGTGCATATTTAAATTACACAACCAGCATGTGGCCCGTTAACAGGTAGGCACCGTACGAGTCTCAGACATATTGGCTGGCATCTAACGTAATTATTCATATTAATATCCATTATTTATAAATCAATTCACTGTTCCATACTCTGAGGGTAAGAAATCAGCCCTTATCCGTAGGCAGAGAATATTGCCATGTAATGCTAAAATTGCCAAAGCACAGATTTATATTAGATTTAAGCGTAAGAGGAAGGAGACATTACGGACACAAACAAAAATTACCTTATTAGCATGCGAACGACTGTAGTGAATGCCTCGCAATCCCGTTTATAATCCTTTTAATATATTAAAGTATTAAAAATAAATAGTTACCTCTGCCAGTGCATCTTTACGATCACGAATCAGATTCATTACATCATCTGAACAATCACCTGACTCATTTTCTTCGTTATTGACAGATGATGCAGAGCCGACGGTAACTAACTGATTGTTACCTAGAATTCAGAAGCAATACATGGCACATTAACAGTCAATCAATAATCTGGTAAACAACGCTAATTCGTCTCGAACGTTATGATTAAGTCTACTTAACAAATAAGAGACTGACCACTCAAACAAGATTAAACACAAAACCTCTCGAATGTACACCACTAATGAAAATTAGTTCGAAAATGGAACCATGACTTGATGGTCAAAACATTCGACCCCTAATCAATATTACACAAGTTTTAACCAACTTATTTACGTCGTTTAGGTAGTCATTTAGTACAACCAATCCTTACATTAAGTGTAGTTTGAAACTGTACCTGGTAAAAATAAGCTCATTAGATCATACCGTGACTGAAATTTTTAGATTTAATGAAGTGTAACGATCATAGGTTTTGATGAAATTTGTGACATTTAAAAGACAATTTGCCGATTAGATGTGCATTTTATCTTGAGGACAAAAATAAAAGTAGAACATCAAAATTGAATTGTCATACTATGACCGTTAAAATATTGTCGGGAAAATGCCTCGGAACTACGGCATTTGGTATGACAGGAGATAATATTGCATTTTTACGTTCATTTTTATCTAGTTAACTAATAATGGATAGGGTTCTTTGGATTAATCTTTTATTGTGTAATATACAGCACTTTTATGGGACTGATAAGTCTTGGGCATGTGCATACACACATGTTACTCAGGTGCTTAATGGACTGAAACGAAACGAAAACTGATGTAAATACACACTGAATAGTAAGCTTAGAGTTTTTTATACGACAGGAAAATTGTTGAGTGTAGTTTGTATCTTGCTGAAATTAGTCAAAGTCATTTGGTTGTCTTATACACCGACGAATTTTAATGTGATATTATGGGGAACGAATTGTGACTACAACTAGTCAGATCTTAACCATAAACAATGCAACGTGAAAACGAGTTTAGTTCGTTTAACAGCAGAATATACAATCATTTTACACTCAACAAAACTTATCAGCAGTGTGTAAACATACAATAGCTAACTTTCGAATTTCTACTGGTTGACTTACATAAGTAGACAGAAAATCTGAAGGTCTACTGTGTCTATAAAACCTACCGAATGAATATTTCAACGAAAATTCCCATATATATTGCATTTTATATAATGTACGATTGAGTGCAGTACAAAAGAAAGTACTGATAATAGGCTGCATATACATTGATTTTCCTCTTAATATAGATGAATCTAGCTTGATTTATAAACAAATAAAATTTATTTAATCAGACATCAGGACCAAAGTATCCGTTCATAAACCATTATATCTGAGGTATCGGATCCACTATAGTTTATTTATTTGGTTAAATGCACTGACCAATAACAGAGGTTTTAATATATTCTTGTTAATTTCCAACTGATTAATATATTTGACTGCAGAAATTTGAAAGTGGTTGGAATTTTGTCCTGCTGATTCTCATAAATGCTATTGTTCAAGTGAAACGATTAAAATACTAATGTTTTTAAAGTTAAACAAAAAACAAAGACCAAAAGTAATAAATGCTTTGCATCATTTCTGACAAAAGTCTAATTTGGAATAAAATCGAACTGAGTGGATATTAGTGAACTACTCGTATTAGGAGTTACATCCTACATCTTAATCACGTAAAGGCTGGTTCCCATCTTCGTAGTTAATTAGGTAAATACTCACACATTCGCAGAACAGATCATATGAACACTAATTTGCAAAGAAAATCGCAGGTGAAAAAGGTATTGAGCCCGTATTTCATAAAATTAAGTGTTCATTAGATATACCGATTGGTTAAGCCCAACCGATATTAAAGGACTTTGAAAGCATAAAATATTGTCCTATCATCATGTGTTTAAACTATGGTATATATACGCCGTGGATAGTCTTATTATAACAGCACATTAAGCAACTGAATAAATGCTACGTGGGAACCTTTTGCTTAACTTCGAAACAAATTAATTCTTTTATAATTCTATGCATTAACAATAGACTATAAATTTTGGTAATCAGAGTGGTTTGACTAAATCTTTAAAGAAGTTAATAATTGCTAAATTAATGACATTGTTTGTCCGAGCAGAATCGAAATACCTTGTTCCAAGTCGTGAAAATATTGTCTATCTGCTTCTGTGGTCGGCCATTATAAAAAAATTTACTTAGGAAATTTCCGTTTGATTGACAGGAAAAACTTAATTATTGCTGTCAATCAAGGGATCAAGTAAAGATGTAAGTATGTAACCGCATATCTCGTTGAGACACGAAAATTAAACTGTTTCACTTTTCATGTTTGAGACAACATACTTATGACTTAAAGTGAGGTTGTAAATGTCTCATTTTAGGAAGTGATATTAGTCTGTGTTTTAATAAGCTATCGTAAACAGAACGGAGACCTGATTTTGAGAAATTTCAAGTTTTCCACAAAAAGAATTAATCCTACAATGAAAAAAAAGTAATCAAATGTCTACAGAACAGAATATTTTGTACTCCAATAAAAAATTCAGTAGTTAATCGCGACCCTTGAACTACAATCACAGGTGTAAGGAAAACAAACAATAAGATATCAGCATAACTTACTGTTTGAGGATGAACTGGACTTTTTAAATAACGGTTTCAAAGATTCTTTTGCTTTAATATTGTTATTTCTTGAGATGGTCACTTGATTACCATCAACTTTCGAAGTATCTGAGTGATCATTATCGCTAGAATTATTTGCCGATGAAATAGCAGACTTTTTCTTTAGCTTAGCCGATTTATTGATAGTTGAGGGCCATTTTTCCTCTTTATGGAGATGGTCATCGTTGACCTCATCTTCTGGAGTTCGCCAACGTTTGGTTGCACGCGATGTTAAAGACGGTGGAGAACGTGCAGTATCCGAGCGTCGAGGATTCTTCGAAGTACTTTTTTCAATCGTTGGGGGAGAATCTTTAGTTGTAGACTTTTTATTTGCTTTGGCAGCACTTGGCCTCTGTTTACGATCGGTATTTGCTTGACGTATTGTTGTTGAGTTTTCGACCCTCGGTGTTTTTTGAAGACTGGTTCGTTGAGTTTTACTCCGAGTATGGGGTGGCTCAGGGATAGATTCTGTGCTGCTAATAAATTTGTTTAAAAACGTTATAAAAGATGCATGCTAATAAAAGATAATTAAACCAAGGTCCAAAAGAACAAAGTAACCGAAAACGGTTCATAACATATCGAGTATATCGTTGAAAAAGTATACAACAGTCTCGTTTTTTCCAGATAGTTTTACTGACGGCTGACTTTTGTTCCCTGGTTCATCGAGCACCACTTATCGCTTCGCCTTTTCTATCTCTGTTACTTTTATTGCCCACATCCTTTCACAGTCAATGCGTAAACTTAATGTTAAAGTACATTGCTTTTTATCGTTTACCGAACCTCCCAGGATTTCTCCAAATAGTATTTTCAAAACTTCCGATTCGAGTTGCAGACAGCAATCACTTTTGTATTTATCTTCTAGGACATTATGTCAAGCATCACTGAGATGGAATCTCTTTTGCAAACACATTCTTTATATTTTCGTTCTCCAATTACGAACTCAAGTTTGTGTTCTTACATTTTTGTGTGTTAAAGCAAGTGGAAACGTATGCTTTCATTAGAACGTTATCGGAGTCCAAACATGTACTTCCGTAGGACGGAAAGTCTTCTATCAAACCTTTCCAATGATAGCTGATTTCTGATGACACCCAATGGTCAGGTAATCAAAAACTCAACTACCAGTCCATCCTAACCTTGTGTGGAAATGTTTTACCTAAAGGTATTTGCTTTAAGTCGTACACTTAATACCAAAAGTAGCGAATCCAATTATTACGGGGGCTGACATAATTATTACGGAATCGTGAGTACCCATTAATTTCACATTACATCGTAAACTTCATTAATCGACAAACTTCCTATTTACTGATGCTAACAATCGATAATCTCTTCTAACAAAATAACAGGAAACCGCCACAACACAGGAGATGGACAGAAAATTGAAGTCACAAAGCCCAAAATGGTAGACACCTAGAAAACAAAATACGACTGTTTAAAACGCGTAGTTGACTACGCCGTAAGTTACTAGTATTCGATCACAGATATCTCAGAAATATTGCTCACATCTGCTGGGATCACCTGGCAAATAATAGTGAGGTTCGATGCAAGGTATTAGGGAATGATGACGAGTCAGTTGATGAGGCTCTGAATTTACATCAACTGAGATGGTTGGGCCACGTATTATGCACACTTAACTACCGATTACCACAACGCGCAATGCTGATTAGTGTTGGAGACGGTTGGAAGAAGGTTTGGGGTGACCAAACCAAAACGTGGCATCAGTTCTTGAAGTCACTAACTTCTCATCTGGGCTATGTTGGTAGATACAGACTACTTGATTGGGATCCGCGTTACTTAACCACTGGGTTGTAGGTCTGAACTGTTTCTTTTATTCTGGTTTGTGTAGTATCGGTTATGGGCGATAACACGAACAATTACTTGATTAGCATTGAACTGAAACCGATAAGAATGAAAATTTGTCGCTTATCGAGGCAGTAATCCTTCGCTTTACGCAGTCTACTCAGAAACTGCATCACAAGCTTGATTTAGCCTGGGCAACCAGATAGTATTACTAGCCTTCCATAATGCACGTGATCTGGAGTCACGTACCTAATTGGTGAATTCAATTATTTTGTTGTACCGATAAGTAAAAGAGTAAGGATAATAACGATCAATTTTGTTTCGAATGATCTGTAATTAGGGTGGACACTTGAGACAGGAACTTCGACACAACGTCCTCAGAGTAGCCGTGAGCCTAGTAGACTCACTAGTTGGTATTTGATACAACTTCCGAAGAGAAATATTTAAAGAACGAAGTGAATATTAGCAACACGTGTTCGGAAAGATAATTGATAAACGTTGGGACTAAAATGAATTTACTTAAAACGAAATGAATGTTAAAATCCTTGACTTCCAATATGTCATATACTGGGAAACCGCTTAATCTAGTTAGACTTTTGTAAAGAAATAACGTATTACGCCTCTACATAATAAAACTGAACTTGTATTTAGTTGCTGAGTTGTGTGGTACACCAAGTAGGATACCAATTTAAGCTGCATAACTTGATTTGAGTTGAGCATGAAAACAGCAACGAAAATAAGTCTGACAAGTTATTTCTAAAAATCTTTTGTAAAGTACCGATCAAGCCCCTTAAAACTTATCTCTATCAGTGATCACCACAGTTCATACAAAAACAATTAGTAAGCTATTATACTCAGTTTACTGCTGATTTAGTCACGAAGTTTGAAAAATGCAGCACGACAATTGGGGCACCAAATTGGATGTGAGTGTAATAAGTTGAAGGAGATCTAGAAAATCTTTTAGAATTAATATACATTAAAATATTTGACATTCTGAAGACTGAAGATTAAATTTAATTACTTGTTGGCTGGTGAATGGGTATTCCTTGTTTTTCTACGTTTCTGAGATTCGACTGATGGTTGGTTTTTTTCATCACTATTTGAAGCAGCATCAGTCTTGGACTTGGTGGTACGATTACGAATGTCATTATAGGGTGGTGAAATAGAATGCATCCGTTTGCGTCCACTGCGATTTCTCGGGGAATCAAAAGCACCATTGGAACTAGCGACCGAGGCACCTGAAGATGAATTTTCTGAAGAGTGGCGTGTTCTTCTGGAAAAACTGCCACCTCGGACAGATATCTGTTCAAAACCCTGTTGAACATGGCGTCTTAGTTGTATTAGTCCACTTACCAATGAAGATCCATCTTCCGGATTAGGAGCAGGAGCATTTGAGAAAGCAAGGTTTCGTTCGCTCATTGAGGGTGACCCTGGAAAATACGAGAAACTTATTAACGTACGATCAGTGATGTCGAATTACGAAACAAAAAAGTCACGTAGGACGCGTAAAAATTGAAAAACTGAAGGGATTTGTTGCACGTTAGTCTGAAAACAGCAAAGAAAACTTGCTTGAAACTTGTTGGTTTCTTCGCGTTTGGTAATCTGGAGATGAGTTTTCGTCTGCACTTTGATCATATTGTTCATTATTTCTATTTGACGAGCGACGTTTAGACGAACCTTGACGCTTTCGCTCCTCTGAAGATCGACTACTGCTACTACTTCGATCATGAGAATGGCGAGAGAGGTTGCGTGAGGCACGTCGATCGTCGTAGATGTGACCATTAAATTCAGATTCACTTGCATGCATTGAATCCCCCGGATTTGAAGGCAAGGAATGCCTAGAAGAAAAACAATTTTATCAGTAAAATCATGGGACATGTAGTAACAGAGTTACTTAATTCTTTATATTACTCAAAATTCATCAATTTACTACATCATACAACGGTACAACCAGCAGGAAAAATTGTCAAATCATTTACTTTATTTCTCTTAGAAGGACTAGCTACAGCTCGTTAAGAGAAACTAATTAGTTTTTACAAATTTATGTTCAACATGAAACTCATTTAAATAAGTATCTTTGAAAATCTTCGACATTGTATTTAAGGGATATGAACAGCTTAATCTTACCGGTTTTTTGGTAGGAGTTACGCGTAAGGTTTTGCAAAAAACACATTTGGTGAACCAAAAAATTATCAGAATTACCGGCCATATAAGCACGCTGACACTAAGGGCTATTAATTTCAGAACAGAGAAGTATATTTCTGTATATGATTTTTAGTAAGCTTAGAAATTGTGTTTGCTACCACTTCAGCATGTTACCAAATCATCTTCCACCAAATGTTTTACTGACAGTCTTGTCAACTAGGTCTGATACTACAAGTTGGTGGCACTAAACATAATGCTATTACCGGTCACAATTCAACTGGTCCACTATGAAAAATTCGGAATAGGGACACACGTTGTTGCCTTTTCGTCGTTTCAGCCTACGTTCCCACCGACTACAACTCGGATGAAGTGAAAGATGAGTTTTACAGAGAGCTCTCTGGATTTCTTCAAAAAGCTAAACACTCAGACATAGTACTCGTAACAGGCGACTTTAATGCCAAGGTAGGAAGCTGGGTATTTTGGTATTCCGGCTCAGCGGACAGATAATGGTGATCGTCTACTGCAACTGGACTCAGACAATTGTTTATTTTTAGTAAACACTAATTTTAAGCATAAGGAGAAACTGTTATATCCTAGCAAAGATTAATTTACGTGTAACTTCTGAGAACTATTAGGACTAATATTATCTATACATTCTTATGGTAAAACTTTTCCGTAATCAGGTTATGTATATTTATATTCCTCTTATAATAAGCCGCATTTTGATTTATAAGTTATTATTATACGATTTACTGTTCTTAAGTTATGTTCAGTTTATTGATTACAATATCCCACGTTCATAGCCAATTTCTGGCTTTATTGTGTATACATTTTTTATTTTATGGTGTGATGTGATGTTTGGCTGGTATATAAACCAAGTATGCTTGAAATAAATGATTCACATAGTGGAAGCTGTTATTGTTTTGGACTCAGTCGGACGAGCTAGGCGAACAAAGGACCAATAAGGACGCTAGACTGATCAGACAGATCGAACGTCATTGGTTTATTACAGTACAAAAGGGAATAAGTATTTCGATTGGCGAAATATTTATGTGATAACCAGCCGTACTTGAAGTCACAACAGAGACATCGTCTAACATGGTAACCCCCTGTTTCAAACTAACGATAGACTCAAATAGACCATGTAGCCATCAATGATCTTTGGAGAGGCTCGACAGGAGACTGTCGCTCGTTCTGGAACGTGTTTGGACTCCGATCATGCTAATACGAGCATGCACTTGCTTGCGCCCCGTTGGACGCAGAAAAGGAAAATTAAGAAGACCCACTAAAACTGAATTAAGTGACAAGAAAGCTAAAAGTAGATTCCAGGAACTAAGGTCACACTTAGGTAGTTCTGAAAACGAGGCTGACCCAGATGGTGCTTGGAAAGATACACAAACAGCTGTGGAAACAGAAGTGACATCTACTATTGATTTAAACCAAAGGGTCACAAGGAACTAATTGGTCTCTTCTAAAGCTACTGAACTGGTGGATCCTTGCAAACTCATTCCATCAGACTCTGAACACAATGAAGAACAAAAACAAATCAGATCTAGGTTAACCAATAGTGTAACACAAGACAGCTTTTCAGGCTAATGAAACAAACGAACTAAGTCAAGTATCAGACGATCTCGAAAAAGGATGACACTCTTTTCTGCTCTCAGCTCAGACGTTTGGAACGACGGGCGCAACACTTTAAGTAGCAGTTCATTTGGCCTTCGGCTACTCTACAACTACCCACCATCCCCAAAACAAAATAAATAGAACACTGAAGTAGGCCCCCCAACTCCTGTATGCGCGTTTCGGAGACGCAGCACACATCGATGGCGCGGGATTATACAGTCCTAGCTAAGGAAGCCTGCTGTCCTATTTGGCAGTGTTCGAACGTTGAAAGCTCTTACGTGTAGTTTAGAGCGTGATTTCAGGAGACCAGGAGTAGCGTTCCGCGTACTCGAATCGTTTGCCCTACCGGTGCAAGGTGATAGAGAAACGTGAGGAGGGTTAGTCATGGAAATAAGAGAGGTATTAGGAGGTGTAGGAAGGATTTGAATGTGACCAACTTGGTTTCGTGCGCTGTTACATGCAGCACTTTGTAAACAGACTGTCTATCGTACTTACGAAATTATCTTAATAAACGGCATTCGAGATACTGTAAGTTACTAACATTAGGAAACATCCAGGTCTACTGATGCAAGTTACGTGTACGACATACCATATAAAGTTAATGTGTACGGCAAACATGCAAGATAATTTACCTTGTACGAGATACTGACCTTGACCGAGATCTGCCTGAATTACTAGCGCTCCTTGACGATGACCCTGTGAATGATCGACTTCTTGATATACTTCTTCTTTCCGTGCTTCTTCTGTCTGTGCTGCGTTCCGTGCTCCTTCTATCTGTACTTCTACGATCCATGCTTCTACGGTCTAAGCTCCTACGATCCGCACTTCTGCGATCTATGCTTCTACGGTTTCTGCCGTTGTCTCTATACCCCCGACCACCTGAAGAGGAAGAGCCCGTCCGGATCCGTCTAGCATCACCATAGTTTCCAGGAGATGGTATACTCTTTTCTAAGCCTCGGAAACCCCGTTGGTTTGGAGGGAAGCGTCTAACCTGACGCCGCTCTTCATACACTGGAAAAGCAACTTCGGATGAATTTTGCAAATTACTCTTTGCTCTAGCTTTTTTGAGGTCCTTGAACCAAGTTAGCTCTACAGGGTAACCAAACATTGTTTTACCGTTGTGTCTGCAAATTAGATGAATGTAAGGCTTACCGACGAAGCATCTCGCTGGCAATCTCGTGGGACTTAAACCGTATGGCGACTGAGAATCTTTTCTTATCTTCTGAGGTAGAAAAAAATTCCACCGAGCACCTGGAATTTGTTTCATTACAGAAGAAGTCCCTGAACATTAGCTAGAGAATAGGTATCTTACTTCACTTTAGTTACATCTGTCGTCCCTGGAAGCCCTCTAATAAAAAGGGTGTGCCGACTAGGTAAGACATTACGAGGATTTAGTCTATCAAACTGAGGTCTACGGTACATTCTTCACAACTACAACAGGCGGCTAGTTATGTCAGAACTCATTAAAACAAAATGATATGTTAGTCTCTGAAAATACCAAGCTTTGGGTAACAAACTTTTGAACTTCTAACCTCAAAAACTCTTCAAGGGCGGAAAACAGAACATCTTTTTGCTCTTTGTAGGTGCTCCCTTCTTCTATATTGGTTGGTGAAGCCTATTGGCTTATCTGGACGCTGAATGATGACATGCTCTTCCTCATTTTACATCCGGTGATTGCAGATATTTTGTGAACCAAGTATTTATGATTATTTTTGATATATTTGACCATTGTTGTTTTGTTAAAGTTCGTCAGACTTCATGGTCTTCTGTTTGCTTATGTTCTATTTTTTCCTGTTCAAATCCATTTAATTTTTATGGATGGAATGTTTTTACGTGTTCTATTAGCCATAATTGTGTTTTATATTCTTTTATACAACTTTTTACTGGATATGCACACACCTGTTTTTATGGTCGTTGTCTCTTTATTCACATGATAATATCTGTGGTGATGACGCATTTGTTCACTGATAGCAAACATTTGACTACAGCTTTCACTTGGGAATTTGTAAATCAACTCTCATTTTACAACTATAGTGGGCTCATAACTATTGAATTTATCTAGTATTACTGTTTGGGGTGTCTAACCAGTTATTAGTTAGTTGTTCGTTGAATGCTTGTATGTCTGCTTGTAGTTGCCTGATTTCGTACTCGTGTTGTTAATCATTTTCCATATGATTTCTTTCTTTCTTGGTTTGGCTGTGTGCGATAGATCCAGTCTATTTTGTTTTATTTTCCCAAATAAGTTTGGTAGGTTAATGTCATGTTTTATTTCATCTACTATTTTTTGAGCGAGTTTATAATTCCTGGACAAAACGATCAGATTAAAGATAACAGATCATGGATTTTGTAAACAAATTCATTCATCTGTTTAGTTAAATAAAAATTAGATGTTATGGCTAATGTAATTTCGTGATGAAAAGCAGAAATCCAATTCCTAACCTCGACACCCGACTGTAAATTCTAATCATAATCCTTCAAATTAATTTATAATCCCCATTCAACCGTAATACAAAGGTGGACATTCTCAAGACCACTTTAGGGTCATACAAGAATCATTCGTTAATTGAAGTCTTGTCGTGCTGGTGGGTACTCCTTGTTCCATCGATAGAAGAAAACAGTCTAGTGATGAGTATGTCTTTATTTAGATCGTCCAACAGAACAGTTAGAGCACGAGATCGCCTTCTTCATACAAAAGATTGTTCAATATTCAATATAAAATGATAAGAAATATAATGCCTATACAAAATAAAGAAGATAATGAATACTTGAGTTATATTTTTTCGACATAAATAAGATGTTTGCGACTAACTCTTAACCAATCTACCTGTGTTTTTACAGTCTCACCAATTTTGCTTATTATTATTGAGTCCTAGAACCATCTTTCTCGCAGTAATCAACACTGTTTCGTGTTCCGTTGCTTCTTCAGGTTGTAGTACCATTGTTTGTAAACAATATATCAGGGAGGGTATATGATAAATAGAAATATTTGAAATAACTGTTAACTAAGAATCCTCGAGATAGAGTAATTTAAGCCAGACAAAACTAAGTACAAATGAAGGTTTCAAAGAATATGAAGTTAATGACCAGAAATCCTCCAAATGGAAACATTGGTAAGCTTAATTATGACATCAGAATTCAATGCCTTAAACTTCTCAACCAATCCGATGAACTTCATAGTGTCGGTGCCATCAGTAAAATCGTGGAAAAACATCACTAAACAGATATAATCGTTCTTAAATATCAAATGAATTACTGGAAGTTGTAAATAAGGATAGTATATTCTAGGAAGTAATTTCCTGAACATTCAACTCTAAACTCTCCTCTAGACTGTCGAAAAGAGTCTTAGCTTAACCAACGCTGTTCGATTTGATAAACTTTGTTTCTAAAACACTAATCAACTGTTATTATACAAAATAAACAGTTAATGCAGTCTATTAAACAGGAGGAAAGAGATATATAAATAACATGCCGAACGGTAGCTAAATGATAGAAAACCGAGTCAACAAAGCGAATATCGTTTTATGATAAGCGTAAAATTGTGATTGGTGATTGAGCAATGCATAGTCATGAAAAGTCAAAGATAGTTAATGTTGTGGTGGACGTTTTATTCTGTCATTGGTGGGTTGTTTTATCGTTCGCACTTTACACTCCCTCCGAAATACACCACGCTCATCGTCCTAGGTCGTTTTCAGATACACGGCTTCTTCAAGTAGGCATAGAATTTGTAAATTCCGAGCGATTTCTTTGTTTGTCGTTCTTAACTTCACTGTTAGAACTTGTTCGTTCAAGCCATGAACGTCTACTTGATTTTATATTACTGACGAGTACCAGGTCTCCTAGTTGTAAATCTTTTTGTACGTTCGACCATTTATCTCTTGTTTGGGGGAGGTCGACAGATATTCTTTTATCCATCTATTCCAAAATGCAGTGGTTAACCTCTACGCTTCCTCCCATCTTCTTCTAATAAAGTCCCATCCGCAGAAACATCGTCAAATGACAATCATTTATAAATCAACAACAATTTATCCATAGTGAAAGTCTCTAGGATACCAGGGTCATCAGTCATTTTTAGTAGTGGTCTGTTGTTTAATATCCTTTCAGCCTCGGTCAAAAATGTTTGCGAGGTTTCATCAGTCAGCACATCTTGGAATAAAAGCACTCTTAAAATTCTTTTAGTTGATCTAATAATGCGCTTCTACACTCCACTTCGATGACTTGCCCTAGGTGGGTTGAAACGCTACTCACACTCCAGTCCTTTGAGGTATTTCTCTATCCCATGAGCATATAATCTGCCTCAAAATAGCATCTACGCCTACAAAATTTGAATCTCTCCTGGCAATAAACTTTGATAATCTGCATAAAAATGAAATCCGTGTTTAAAGGACAAGCCTTCTTAATGTGAACAGCTCGGATAGACAGGTAAGTGAATAAAAAACCTTAACGTTTCTCCATGACTCTTTCTCGTTTGGTGTACAGTGGTCCGAAATAGTCCACGCCAACTGAGCTAAATGGCAGCGAATGGGCTTCTACTCAGCATTCCATTATTTGGGAGCATGGTATAGAATAGGGTCTTCTACATAGATAGTGGTGTTTTAGAACTTTCCTTACGGTAGAGTAGCCTCTAGCAATCCAGTACTTTTCACGGAGACCACTTAACTTTAGGGTAACTCTGATATGTATATTGAGAAATGATGGTGAATTATAATCAAATCAGTAGCAAACTGCTTATTCGCAAGTATAACAGGATGCTTGATTTCAAAGGGCAGGCATGTTTATTGTAAACGTCCGCCTACGCTGATCTAACATAAATGGGTTGAAATTTTCTATCCAACTGTGACGAATTACATTTTTTCTCTTGATCATCTTGATTATTCATTCTGGGCCTTCTTTCTGTCTAGAAGCGTTTTGTTCGAACACTCACGGTGGTTTGTACCAATGCAGGCAGTTTGATCAACAAACCTGAAGGTGCACTGAAACTGTTACCATGGATAACTTATTTCATCACAAACAATTTCGACATTGCGCTTTCCCATTCGTACCACAACTTGACATATTGCCTTGACTGTACTGATCTAATTATCGACCATGTGGCTTATAATACCAATAGGGGCCAGAATACTTCCAAAACCTTCAAGAGAAAGCTTAAAAGCACTGCTATCACAAGCATCATAACGTGTATGCGCTTTAGAGTATACTTGATTGACAGAAATGACTATTCTAAACCCAAGTATCTTATGACCATGGAGAATAAAGCCCTACGTAGTAAAAGCCCAGAGATATAAACACTTCGGCTTTTCAAATCCAATGTGAAATCGAATTCCCTTGGCACGACCAAATTCTGCATAGTTAACGGAAGCACTGTTGACTACCATGATAATATTTGTGAACAATTCAACCAGTATTTCCTGCAGTGCTACAACACCGAAACCGAGACCTCCATCAGTACGTTTCAAAAGTTGACATCTAAACACCTATCTAAAGTTGGTTTCATGTCGACCGACATCAAGCAGGCCATAGCTGCGCCGGAAAAGTCCAATGACAGTGGAGATATAGTAGTAGGAAATCCTGGTCGTTTTGCTTAAAGCTGTCCAAACTATCTATGGACTATGGAGCCTATCCATCTCTATGGAAGACATCTCTTATCACCCCTAGATTCTAAACGGGATCGCGTAGTGATACTAATAACTATAAGCCAATTAACTTGACATCCGTGCTATCACAAACCATGGAAAATATCATCTACTGACAGCTATCATCATTTTTACTTTCGACTAGCCTGATTATCCCATCTCAACACAAGTTTATGACTAAGCGCTCATGCCTCTGATCAAATTACCCGGAGATGAGATGTTGGTCAGACAGTGATATTTCAGTATTTCGATTTTAGTAAGGCCTTAGACAGTGTCTCACACAAACTTCTTCTTCGAAGACTTTCTTCATTTGGAATACGGAATCCTCTTTTATTTTGGCTCAAATGTTTTCTAGCAGTTCGTGGTCAGTAACATCGAATCGAGACTGTACTCTGAAGTTTTACAATGTGGAAATCCTTAGATAAAATGTATTTTTCGTCAGTCCGAAGGCGCCCACTTATTCCTCCTTCTGTCGATCGTTTTTTAGTACCATTAATCGGGCTGAGATTCACATGGACATATATTCCGGGTCTGCAACAATTTGGAGGGCTCTTCCGGTGTCCCACATTGTACGAACATTCCATGTACCTAAAAAAGTGGTCGCTCTGGTTGTCAGAAGAGGCATCGGCCTCGTAAATTCCGAAGGAATTTGTCTTTCATCATGAGAAGTCATAGTTCTTCTAAATGAAGACCTTCTGACTCCCGGGACAGAGGTTAAAAGGTTTGAATAATTTTTTCTGGTAAGCGTTTTTTAGCGAGTTAGTTTTCTACAGGATGGGGACGCTAACCCATGCCTCACACTCCTCCTTTATCCGGGCTGACGACCGGCAGTAGCCCCCGGAGGGACTCCAGGCGGAGTTTACTCCGGGTCTAGTTTATATGAATTTTTCAGTATGAGGTTTCTTCCATCAGCAGAAGTGAAAGTGGCTTTCAAAAGGTTGCTTGCCTAGGTAATTTCGAAACTCACTTTTTGTGTCATTCTATAAAGCCTATG